TGGTTGTGTACACCCCAACGACAGCATGAAGACTGGTGTCACCGATAACCACTTATACGACATCCAATTATGCTAACAACATTGTTGTTTGGAATTTTTATTTTCTCAGTTGTTTGGAATTTCTATACAAATTATTGAGAATATATACGCTCATTCTCGCATCGATGGCTTTTTAAAAAGACCTGTTGAATTATTGAGAACGAATATGCGCTTATTCTGAAAAGTGGTACAATACATGCAAATTATCTAGAATTGTAAACAAACGCATTCAAACATTGCATTCTAACTAAAAAATTATATTATTTGTTTTTGAAGTTTGTTTAGTATTTCTATTATAATAGCGTCGACTTCGGTCTAGCCCCATTGCCAGTATCACCACATGTTAGAGTCTTTGTTATACTTGGTATTTCGTGGTAGCCCGAAGACTTAAGTTTATTAATTTGGTCCAAAGTAATTGGATGATCATACATGCATGTATTCATAGCAGAGCAAAATAAAAGCGGTTTTTTCAAATCCCAAGCCCGTACTACACACATAAGGAATCCCTGAAATCGTATTAAAGAAGATATTAAAAGAAAGATATTATATGAAAGGAATTGAATGAAAAAGTTTACAAATCATTGATAATAAATCGGCCCATTTTCCTAACTCAATATGCACTACTAGATCACAGCGTTTATTCTAGGCTTTCCATTCCATCTCATCATCCAATATTCTGCACTTTGCGGCATGCTAGCCAAATCTAAGAAATGTTTCGCATGTTTCGTCAAAATCACTTTCTGAGAAAATCATAAAAAAAATTTATTAGATATTGATATGCGCTTCATGAAAAACTTACATTAAATCTGAAATCCCGGTTAGGATCCTGCAATTTCTCTATTAAAACTGGCAATTTTATCGGACGTAGTGACCGTTTTGAATTGCTCCCGAAAGATGGTGTACAATTCACAAAGCCAGAAAAACAATTCTTAAGGAGGGCTCTTTAATTGATAGAGCCCCTATAGATGACCCATTTAAAACCTCAACGGAAACTCAAAGCCTTGGATCGACCTTGGTATTTCCAACCAACAAAGTTCCGAAGACAATAGGAGGAGGCAGACGCGTCATTATCAACAAGATATATTGTTGATTTGCTGTTGTCTACGATTGTTGAAATAAACAAATAAATATTTTCAATAAAATTCAAGGTGTTATCATTAAAATTATTATCTAAATGATTTACATATCGGGTGCGATTCTCTTTCGAAATTTCAAAAAGCACACCGTCTGATCAGGTCGTCGATCCTAAATAAATAAATTTCGAAACTCAGCTCTCGAACGAATCTGAAAACCCCAATATGTCTTTGTTGTTGTTTCCAAATTACTTTCGAAAAGAGAAGGAAGGAGTATTGTTTAAATAAAAGTTGTAATATAAACAAACATGATCAATTTATCGAGCTCCTGAATTATTTTCTTGTACGATTGATGAATGTAAAGATATTTGAAGAATATAGTACATATTACTTTGCGTGCATGATATCGCAAAAATTAGCATTTTATTGAAGTGATAAGAAAATATTACTATTATCATTATTTAATTCCTCCTTAGATTTCATCCGTTTCATCCTCTGTATAAGTTGGCTCCTTTGTAATTTCCATCGCGTTCGATATTGATAATGGGGGAAAGAAACTGTGTCTTCCGGATGAAGGTTTTTCTGGTGTAAGTAAGTTTTTTTAGTGTTAGTTTTTGACGAGACATTCAGAAGAAAATGTTTTTTCTTTCTTACTTCGAGGTTTTTTCCTTTTTAACAAATTATTTTCAACACTCAATCTTTAGACGTTATGCCGGTTTGTCCCCTTCGACACCAACATCAATCAATATAGGAGATGCTAATATCATTGCGAGTACGTTGATGGAGACTCCATCAGAATATGATTAAAATTCGATTTATGGATGTCTATTTATTTATTCATTACTAAAAGTAACATCCAGTTTGAACACTTGTTTGATCTACGTTTTTGTACAAACGTATTTTAACGGTAAAATGATGAAATAATGGCTTTTTACAAAATATGCTATATGTTAGGTTAAATTTCCTATTTATCAAAAACAATCAACTAAGTATATAGAGACGAAGGACTTTCATATCAATTTTTGACCTCTTTAGCTCGCCAATAATAGAAAGGGGGTGACCAACTTGATTTATGATCTTATGGCATTTTAGATATGTGCACGCTTTATGAGGTCCCGAAAACTATTATGAAAAACGAATCCAATAATCTTTCCTGGTGCGATCTGTGCAAAAGCTGACTTCTTTACGATTTAGGAATAAAAAGGTCACAGATATCTTAAGATTCAGTCAACGAAATTGTCTTAAAGACGACGATCATTCATTTTTGCTTCTTGATTCAATGCTCTCTTTTACGATCGGGAAAGTAAAGTCGAGCTCCTGAAAAAGCAATGATTTCGGGGAATCAGTCACTCTCTGGGCTACAATCAAAATGTTGTATATTCTTTCTTATGCGAAGTTTAAGGAACAATTTCATTTTTATAAAAAACTTCGAACTGATTGTCTATCGCCTATACACTATTTATATGGGGAAAATTTTATTTTAATAAAAAACATGCAAGAACAAGATGTAGATAAGAAAACAAGTAATAAGCTACTTTGCCTAATACAATTATTCACCCTTTCTGGTACACCAAAAATTACGCATTATCTTCATGCAAAGGGATACTTTTTTTGAAAGACCGTGTAGTGGAGAACAAATTTTGAAAACTTTTACCTTTTATAATTTCTGAGTAACGAGCAAAAATCCTAAAATTTTTGTTAAAAAAAAGTGAGTTGCTTTCATTTTACTCTATTGCGCGCTTCTGTTTCGGCCGATTTAGGCCATTTTCAATACCAACCTGGGCTCCGAAACTTCCAATGTTGCGACCAGGAGAGTGCCAACAACACATACCACACAAACAGTGACGGACGAACATGGCTAAATCAACTCTGAATCTCGCACTAATCGAGAATATATATATTTTATAGGGTTCCTGAAGCTTCTTTTTGGATAAATGGTTAAATGTTTTGGAAAAAAACAAAATGAATGAAAACAAAATTACACCCACCAGCTTACAATGGTGGGTATAACTAGAATCACACTCAATAGAGAATCTATTGAGAATTACAGGGAAATCCGAAAAATAGATCTACATTGTGAAAATATGATATAGTTACTTTCCACGTCAAATTATTATTACGGGCCAGTTTACATCAGAACTCTTATACAGGGAGAGATGCAGAAACTAGATGATTACCCAGAAATTTTTGTCGAAAAAGTTAAAAAATTGCAATTTTTTATATCTCATAACTATCTTTTCAAGGAAAGATGTTTAGTAGGGCGACTGATCGTGAAAAAAGTCTAATCCAATTAAATGAAATTAAGAGAGTGTACCAAATTTCATCAAAATATTTCATATATTACGATCTGCAGCTAGAACACAAAAAGGAACCTACAACAACCTACAACAAAAAGGAAGAAGAACAGGCAACCTACACCAAAAAGGAACAAGAACAAGCAAGCTACACCAAAAAGGCAGAAGAACAAGCAACCTACACCAAAAAATATAACGTTTGATTTCCTCAAATTTATGTATATATTTATTTATATCTAGTGAAATAGGACTAGAGTCTGTATACCAACCTCTACAGCTGGTTTAGGAAAAGCCTGCAGACTCCCGCCAGTAGATGGCTTTAAGCCCAATATCCAAACAAGATAAAGACTTCCTTTTTTTTTTACTTTTAATTTGCCTTTTGATCTTACGGCCAATACTCGCAGATCGAGTTTTGTACATTTAGGAATGATAAACAGTAAAGATATGAAATGGAATGGAGCCGGAGTGTGTAGCGATGTTTTTCGAATGAGATGAATGCGATGATTCACTTTTTCGGCCAATAAGGGTTCTTCTTTCTGATCTAAAAAAAATTAATTCTTCTTAAAGTGTAATTTTTGTTACAATTTATTTTTCACAGAGTCAAATTCTATCACAAGTGTTGGCAGCCATTAAAAATGGTTTTTATTTCCATTTCTTTGGAATATGAAGTTTACATGGTTTATATTATTTCAATTCATTTAAATTTACCAAAATTCTTTAAAGGATTTGGTTTTTAGCTACCTTCGTGTTGTTTTGTTATTGATTGTAACACGTTATTTGTTTGTAAACGACCAAACGTCAAATTTACCTTTTGTTTTTTCGAAATAAATTTCGAATATTGAAAGCCACACATAATTCACAATCAAATGTATTTCAAAGTACGCCATCCAAATAAAAAGGTAGTTAACAAAAAGATACATAATCAATTGCATTGCAATCCTGCATTGTCTGTGTCTGAAAACATCTCTAAATGCTTATTGCTGCTTGTTTATACAGTGAAAAATTAAAATACCTTTTTCATTTAATTTAATTTGTATTAATATGGATAATCCTAAAATCGATGATTTTTGCTGTTATGAATCTTAACCTTGGCAATATTGACAATGATCCGACAGCTGTGTTCGCTAATTACTCTTAAAGAGTAAAAATTTCGAAGGAATTCTTTTTTCTCAGTGGTGGAAACGGAATTGGCTGCATTGGTTGTGACAAATTATGTGTACGAAGAAAAGTGATGTCGATTGTGTTATTATTAAAGTCCCCAAAAATATTTAAAAAGTAAAGATTAAAAAAAGGAAAGAGGGTAACAGCAAAATAGAAGAACAAGTTTTTCTTCTCAAAAGTGGTAAAACAAATAATCCTTCAATTAGAAGAATAAGTTTGGTGTGCGAATGTGTTAGTGCGACGAAGTTTTTTGTTCGCGTTCATAAGGTAAAAGAAATTTAGAAATAAATGGAATTCTCCAAACGAAAAACTTAAAACACTAGGCAGCAGAAGTTGTTGGCAAAAAGGAAAGTTGAAAAAAATATTTAAATGGGTTGGGTTTTTGGGACCAAAATTGCAAAAAGCCGACAATACATATGCAAGTATAAAAACACTATAAACACTCATTAAGAGAATCCAAAAAATTCTGGAGTATGAAGTATGAAATAGCAAAAAAACTTTCAATAGAGTTACCAACTTTAATAAAAATAAAACAATTACGGATGGAATTCGATTTTTTTTGTCTATTTCACACAATTTTTTTTGTTTTGAGGAAATTATCGTGGTTTAGTTATTAATTTTTTTCTTGTTATATGAATTTTTTTACAATTATATTTTTTTAATTTCAAATTTATTGTTTTCTCCTTTTGAAATGTCTACCAAAATATAATTTGGGCTGTACATATGTGGGCATTTTTTTATTATTAATAAAACAATAATTAGCAACAACAAAAAAGAAATTCTAAAATCAGTGATATATCCATACGTCATCATTTGTCTTCGAACGTCTAGAAAACTAATTTGGTGAAAAGAACATATTTTTCAACATCGATGAGGTAAGAGCGAAAAATGTAAGCAAACAATTTTACGTTCATGTATTTAATTAAGACTTCATTTTCATAATGTAAATAACGCTCGTTGTCTATTTATCAATGTTTCGCTACAATTTTTATCGATTTAAACAACACTTGTTAATGTTTTGCTACAAAAAAAAAAAAAAAAACGTGGCATTCTAAGAATAGGTTTTGTTAAAAATGAGCAAATGTGTTGGCTTTTTTTTCCTACATATGCGACGACGGAATTTAGAAAGTTGGTGCAACCGTGATATCTTCGCGACATATGTAAATGATAAAGAAAACACCAAAAAGTGAAGGAGTTTAAGTTTGAAACAAGAATCAATAGAAAACCTCTTCATATATTTGAAAAATAAAACATTTTCTTTCAAAATTAGTAAAAATTAAACAAATGAGATAGGGGATAATTCTCCTATGAAACAGCATCAACCGGTCGCAGAAATCATTGACTTCTAAACAAAGTACCAACTGTGGATATTTGTTTAAGACTATTGCTATTGTTTTATGAATATTAAATGCCTGTCTCTATTTTAGTACTTCCTCGAATCAATTGCTCCTTTGCAAATTAATATCAATCCTATCATTATAATTTATAACGTATTTACTCTTCCCCTTTTAAATTACAATTAATATTCATTTTCTATGAAGGCTTGCCTTTACACATATGGTTAGGCCCTTCTTCATTTGGATTGACTATATTCACACACAATAATATGGAATGCCTATATTTGCACAATTTTTGATGCAAAGTTTTTATGTAATCTGAAACTTTTCATTTTGTAAAATGATGCCATTATTGGAGGTGTTGTTGAGCAAGTAAAAGAAGAAAAAAGTTACGCCAAAAGCAAACAACTGCGATTGTTTTCAGCTTGTTTTCTCGGAATGGTTATTGAAAAAATGGAAGACATTAAATGTCAAAGTGCTCTTTTTAAAGTAAATGTAATGAGTTTCAACTTTTTATCACCATATACTTATTCAATTAACTCCTTCTTCTTGAGTTCTGCCAAATGTATATTTGATAAACAGGCTTATATTCAAATCGATTTTTTAAAAAAGCGCAAAACAAAACAATCGCTTATCACACTTGCGCGCAACTTAAAGTTAATTGGATTAAAATTGATCTCTTATAAAAACAAAATTATTGCTATCTTCGCATTTGAAGCCTAATTTAGTGCTGCTTCCCGAAACGCTATCCGGCGTTTCAGAGATTTGGCGATGTCAAGGAAGTTATAGTTCGTCCGCTTCATACGTAATGTAGTACAGCACAATAATTTATTGTGATGTGAGTTAGTATGGACGATTTCACATATGTCGTCAACTTTTGTACACTTTTCTCTATATTCAACTAAAGAGGTTTACTGTTTATTAGTAATGACCGAATCAATTCACCTATCTTCTGCTTTAGTTTAGTTATTATCTGATTAGCGCGAATATGTATCTGCGCTTCTTATTTTTTATGGAAATATAATTAGGTTACAATACATGATTCTATTTAATCAATTTAGAATATCTTGATAAATTAGAAAAACAGGAACAAAAATTATGTAGTTAAATCAGTCCGCTTAACTTCTTCCGTCACCACACATGAAAGGAAGCTTTATCATTTTGCTTTTAGTTTCCAGAAGACCGGTAAAATCTACAAACTGTTAAGCAGCTGAAGATTTCGTCTCTAAATCGTTGAAATTGTTTTCTCGTTTGCATTCTCGTATACAGAAATATAAAACTAAAATATTTTTGGTATGTTTACATAGGTCAGTTTTGAAATTTGATGTAATTCGCTACATTCACTCTACAGTTATTAAGTCACTGAACCCACTTTTGAAAAACTTGAGACGTGTAGTTATAAATTATTTTTCTTCTAAAATCGTCTCCAATTAAAGACGTGCAACAATAAATGCAAAGTTGGTATTCCTTCTTGTTCGTTACTAAGGCCATAGTAAAAATTTTTGGTACGACTTCAAAAACCTGTGGTTATGTGCTTTCTGCTATATATATTATGTATTTACATCTCAGTTTCAATAGAAAGAGGAAACTAAACGTGTGCACTGTTATTTCACGTAACTTTATTTGAAAATTGTCCCGTTAGACTGTACAATATTCACAATACGTACAATCATATGTTCCAAGTATTGTGGTTAATAATTTAGGACAATTTTAGTAAAGCAAAAAATCTCAAACAGATATTCTAGTCGTCCAAGTAGACTGATAAAATCAGTGTACCCAAATTTTGGGATTTTCTCGTTTATTTAAAGCAGACATTTATGAAGAGATTTTTCTTTTTTAAGTAAAATTTTCAGTGGCATCCTGCCAGAGCTTTAAAAGAAATTATCACGTTTGCAGTCTCACGATGTCTCTCGTGAGTTTGCTTTAATTTTTTTTTCTACTTTGTTTCTATTTTACATGTATATAAAAAAAAATGTATATATATATACATACATACAATAAAACTATATAAGTATGTGCACAAATTAAAGGCAGGCATAGGTACGGTAGATAGATATAAAATTATATATGTTACGTTGTTTACTCAAATACAAAATTTTCTTGTTTCCAAGAAAAGAAGGGCCTCAAACATTGAAACTGCCGAAGTAAATGCCGATATTTTTTCGGTAAGCGGAATTTGTCACTTTACGTGTTAGTGTAGAAGACAACGTCACCAAATACCTAAATAAATATATGTGTATGTATATGTGTTTTGGCAAAGTAATGGAAAATAGGTTTTAGATTTTAATTAATTGGCACTTCTTAAGTAATTGCGTACCGATTCCATCTTATATAGGTCCAATTTTTCTCATATTTTTGAATGAGCTTGCAGCATTATCTATCTGGCACTCTACCTTCACATGGTAATTTTCGTGAAGAACAATTTCAGACTAAGCCATGTGGCTCAAGTTATTTATAGAAAAGATATATTGTTTCGGAGTATTCTCCATTGCCCCAATTAGTTTCGGTATCTTGTTAGAGGAATACAAATCGAGGTCGTTCCAGTTCAGCGTTGTTAACGGTTTCAGGGTGTGCAATACGAACTCGTTGCCAGCGCCAGTGATTATATCGTTGAACTATATCTGCCCATAATGCACTACAACTAGTTTCTTCCATACGTATGCTTCGATCTCCAAGTAAACGATTTCTTCGGTCCCCACCACGATTTTATAAGGTCCGCAATTTGTTGCCGCGCGCACACAACAACAACGAATTGTGAAAACCTATCTCTTGGTTGATAAACAAATACCTTCGCATGTCGTTTATAAATGTTTTCTGCATATTATAGCAGCCAATCATTGCAATTGCAAGAAAACGTTTTATTAAAGTGTGCGCAAATCGGTCGGGACAATTTAGAAAAATTAACAGTTTTTAACACCATAAGCTGCCGATCAATGTATAGGTTACAGTAAGCCTACTCTGTGCCTATGAGGTTCTAAGCGCAAGGTTATCAAGTAAGTGTATATAGCTGGCAGGTGGGCAGCAACGCCATATAGAATGCTTATTCCTTGTAGGAAACGGGGGATTTAACTGTTTTATTCCGATGAAAAATATATGTTTTCGTAGAGACGTGGAGATAAGCATTGCAATGCAAATTTTTTTGGAAGAGCTGCAAGTGTTGCTGCGTAATATACATATGTTCAATTTTAACCTTTTCTTCCAGTTGTGAATGTTCAAAAAGTACTCTAGTCAATCAATCTTCGGTTTGCCGAATAGTTATATTTATATCATGATATACTTGTGCAGGAGCTTGCAAGTATAAACAAAGGTGTCTGACCGAAAAGTAAGCAAAGGGTGGTGGCGTGCTGATAATTTGTTGGGCAATCTGCTAACTGCTCATTGCCGGTGAGATTCATGAAAGAGCACGGGATCGAAATGTAGCCCGCGCGGGCAGCCAATGTGGCAAAGTGACACGAAAAATATTTGGGATCAATGTTAGGGGCTTCGACATTTCGCAGGTATAATTAAAAACAAAAGCTGCTTACTTTTTCATCTTGAAAAAATAATTTAGCAACATCAAAATTTCCAATTCCTACAAAAATAGACCTTAAGTCTGCAAATGGCAAAATCCGTATAATATAACCTTTTGTTTGGCGGTGAACATAAGAAAAGAAAAAGGAAAATTTGCACAACGTGTTATTTTAGCATATACAGGGTGCATGTTGTGTACAAGTGAATAAGCGAGTTTAACAAACTAACAGCATGACACAAGTGCAACACGTCAGAATAATACGTCATGCAAGCATAATAGGCAAACATATATACCATTTTACGTACGTTTACTACAAAAACAATAAAATAAAAAAAGATTATATAAAATTGTAAAAAAAAGAAAAAAATAAGATACAAGTGAGAAAATTAACCACACGCTCGCTTTTTATAAATGTGCATGCATGCGCATGTATTAAATGTTGCTAATTTCTTATAGTAATATAAAATACGTATGGCTGTGCAAATGCATATATTTGCTTATTTGCTAGTGTTGGTGTTGGTGGTATATATACATAATTGTGTTGGTATTCATAGCTTGTAGTTTTTGTGACGCCAACGTTTGTTTGTTGTCGATAATCGAAGCAATTGTTACCACTCGCTTGAATCAAAAGTCGAAGAAACAAAACGTCTACCACTACAACTGCCTAAACTTATTTTGATGGAAAACAGAAAATATTACGTTACATTACTGTATACTGAGCATACTATAGACTCACCCGGAAGTAAGCTTGGCAGAAAAGCGTTCAATAAGATTCAAGCATTGCTCTTTTTTCTGATAATTATTCGGTGTTACTTTCAAAACACTATTTACTTACTAATCATTTACTGTTATCTGACATTTAAAGGTAGATGTTTATACTTACCATCGATAAATTGTGCCAATACACGATTTATATCGTGCTAGATTTTTCATTTTACTTGTAATAGCCAGAAATACTCATTAGATATTTCAAAGCAAGGTTCGGCGATCAATTCAATAACCTTTGCTCATTGTTGGTAAGCTCTCGATTCCAAAAATTTGGACGGAAAAGGAAACATGTCAATTTTCACGATCCCATAGTCATTTCGAATAATACCTGTAATTCTCTTTAATTTAATTATGGTCAAGTCGACTTTCGGCGGCCGCCGATAGCAAGTTGAAAGTTGAAGTTTCACAAGTATACTCCTTTACCGATTAAGTAAAGTGCGGTCTGTCTAACAACACAAGAAAGAAATAAAGTAACTGCAAAAAACATGGGGCAATTTTTTCTTATTTTCGCCATTAGCTTGTATTCGAAAAGAGGCGATCCAGATATTCGTCGCGACAGTATTGAACCTTGTCTTACCTTACTGACCAATGTAATGCATAGATTTATACATTTATTCACGTATATACTCAAAAATTATGTTTAGCCATTATTCATGAATAAAATATGTTTTGTCAGAAGCATTTTCTGATCGCATCTTTACAAACCGATTAAAAAAAAAGATTTTACGTATATTGCTAAAGGATGCTATTATAGCCGCTGAGATTGAAATTTGTAACTAATCGCTTGGGCGTTAGAATTATAACCAGCTCGAAAATCCCAGGTTAGAGAAAAATGCCATTAAATTTTCAGTTATTGGTAGATATACAGCTATATTTTAATGTTTTGGTCGGTCGCTAGTCACAAGGGAAAACAATGTTTTTGATTGTCCTAGTTCTTGCGACTTTATATCAAATTGACATTTCGCCGCAATGGTCACAATAAAAAATCGTAGCTCAAAAAAAAAAAAAAAATGCTTTGCGAGTGCTCCATGACTCGTGGCGCATCTGTAATGTTGTTCAAAACGTCAAGAATTCAATCCCCCATGGTAGATTCATTATGAGACCTTTTTGATATCATTTCAAGAATCTTCAAGGCGATAAAAAATGCCTGAAATTTGTCTCAAAAAATATTATCTTTTCTAGTTTTTCATTTTTTACCCTTTACTTGTCTCTTAAGAAATCCTCTACTTATAAAGAATCCGTCGTCATTACGACAACAGAATAAGAATTTGGGGGTGGATCAGACTGTCTTGCAGAAAAAAGCTGTTTCGGTCTGGTATTTTTATGTTTATATACAATGTTCGTTTAGTTATTGCAAACTAATTCCATAAAACTTACGATGATTACTCAAGTAATTCCATCTTGTTTCTTCTATAACTCTTACCTTCCCTCCTTTTTTGCGGTGCTATAACCCAATGTCATAGTCATTATGCTTTTCTTGAGTGCCTGAGAGTATGTGTGCGACCTATATATTGTGTGAGAATAATATATTCTGGTAGATTTTATTTTCAAAGTGTCAATGGACTTTTCTTTTTGTTTACGTCTGCTTTATTTAAGTGTGTGCGTTTTGCTTTTTGGCTATTTATGGCGTCCACAAATATGCCTTTGTCGGCTTTTTTAAATGAAATTATAGAAAAACTTGTCCGTTAGAGCGCGATCTTGTATATAGAAATCGCACAATGCATACACTATATCGTTCGTTCTATATTCGGCTGCTCAGCTTGTTTAGTGCTGCGCCAGTATACTTATGGCAGATATAGATAAGTGATGACCTCTATCGTTCTCATTTTTAGTTTGACCCAATTTTTGTTTTTTGCTTTTGTTTATTTAAGGCTGCTTTATATAATCTTTGCTGAATGTCTTCAGCGGAGAATGAACGTTATTATAAGCATATCAATGCACCTAACTTTGCTTGAAATTTTCTTTTCAAGTAGATTCGTATGAAACGGCCATCAAAATTTTCAGCAGAGTCGAACAATAGCTTAACAATAAACAGGTAAGAGAATTGCAGTCGGTCAAGGCCGACTATTAAATACCCTACACCGCATTGTCTAACACAATTGTTATTTTTATTAAAGAACACAAAAATTATATCTTGCCGCCATATAAAAGCATATTTTTCTTGTGCGTATTTATGGGGAATTGTGCCCAATCCTTACATAGGGCAGGATCCAAAAAAAAGGCGTAGATGGTCCAAATTTTGTATGGTTCGTTTTTGTATGACATTACTATTATAGTTCAATTGTTATCCACAGTTTAAAACTTTCTGAGGATCAATATTCAATATTCAAAGAATCAATTCAGTCGGTCTTGCCAAATTGTAATGGTCTTACTTGTTTTAGCCGTGAGTGACAGGCCAGAGATTAAAACATGCTGAAAAAGAATTGCCCATAAAAGGTGGTATTACAACATTATCTTTTTTTTTTATGTTTTGTCGCAATCTATATGGCTAGAGTATTTGACAAAACGATGAAGAACTTATAGTAAATTAGTGTTTCTAACTTGGCCTTACATCGCAAAACATTTTGATTCAATTATTTATATATTTTTTTTTCAATGAGCTTTCAAATTATACTGTTACACGCTTGTGAATCAAAGGTCGAAGCACGCAACATATTTGAAAACAGCGCATGACACAAAACATCTGAAACATCGCATTGCCATACGAGCGATGTTGAATAGTATGCTCCTGAAATGATCTCTCAAATATTTGTCTTCGAGGGACGAAGGAGTACTTATTAAAAGTTTATGCGAAGAAATGCGCTCTTATCCATTTACAGTATTATCAAAATTCTTCCCGTTCAAACGCTTGTTATTTATTTGTTAAGAGCGAGACTTGCTAATAACCATTAAAGGATAGTCCGCTGTCGCGTACCTGCGCAGGTAAAAAACGTAACCCTCAAATCTGTATTTGTGGATGCAAAACTTAGTGTGTTTTGATCATAGTTGGACATAGGTATAATAACTGTTTAGTCGGTAAAGAGCTAACTTAGAACTTGCATACAATTTTGACTTTGGAGATATATTTAACGAATCAAACCGAAAGGAATATTTACATTGATACTATTACAAGAGTACTTATGCTTGTTACAATAGCTATAATCGACTATTTATGGGAAGAACCAATATTGTGGCATGTACAGGATTTTTCTTCATAAAGTATGTCACTAGTTTCACAGGTCAATAGCAAAGTATATTTTGTTTATTACCGTAATAGTTTATTATTTAATTGGGGTAGAACACCATATTCATTGTAGGCTCCTTTGCATCTTTAGTAACTATTTTAGGAAATTTAAAGTCCGCGCCTCATACGTTAGAGATAGAACTAGAGATACATCTGAAAAATTTTTGGATGAAGAGGTTGAGGAGCGAACACAAACGACCACTGCCCGCAACTTATCATTTTTGTATTAGATTTACTGGCATCTGTTTCTCGTACGACATAAGAAATGCAGCTTGTTTGTTTATTTATAGCAGCATTTATTTATAGCGACAGCGTGAGTTATTCTCTTATTTTATTTCTTACAAACGTTAAAACGGTTACCTAGGATTCAATCTTAAATATCCATTCACCCCAAACATATATATGAGACAGACGCATTCACTGTGCGAGAGCAAATGAGAGAATTGTTACAAAAGGGTCCGTCACTGTTGTTACGGATGATGAATAAGGAATATCTTACGTTTTCCAAAGCCCGAATAGGCAATGACGAAGACTAGGTGAGCCATTAATATGTACGGTAGAGCTGAATATCCACGGCACCCTATATGACGGTTCAGTTGGATACAATGTTTGGTTGGCAAGCAGTACCGTAATTAAGAAATATTAGAAGATTGAATTGACGCAGTTGAGATGCGCATTATGCCAGAAGTCGTCATATCAATGGAGAGTTTCGGCTCTTTATGGGAGAACCTATCCAGCGCTCAACTGAAACGGCTTTCCCTGCTCGCTGTATTCATATATTATAATCGATGAGTTATCGAGCATAGCTTTCATTCTTATGATTCTTCAAAAAATGGATCGCTCGTACGAGAGCTCAAAATTCCAATTGTTTTCTTCGCAGTTCAGAGTCCGTATTTCGTTTAAAATGTGAGAGAAATATACTAAGAAAAAATAATTTTTTATTTCTTCTCTTGAAATTTTCAGGTTTTCATTGATTAAAAAACAGTAAAAATTTAATTGCTCACATACTAAAGAAATTAATCAAATCTAAACTTGTTTTCCATTTCTTGAACACATCCAAAGTAGCAGATATAGTTAGTTATATTGTCTAGCCCTTTTTTGACATTTGGTCTCAACAAATATTTCAATGGGAACGAATGCAATTCATTAGTAGAGTCATAAAATGAACTACACCATTTTACGTAATCAATTGAAGCTTTGACATTTTCATAGACGAACAGCAAAAATGTTATCTGTGCTGTGTTGCATCATCATGAGCAGAAAATCTTCAGTATTGTTACATATTATGTTTAATTAGAGTTTATTTTTATTAATATTTGTTTTACTTCTTCTGCCATGAAAAATGGAAATTCGATGTTTTGCAAAACGCTGTGCTTGCAAGGGTGAATGAACATTTAAACAAAATTGCACAATTCTCGCTAACTGTGCCCTTTATATGGCTTTCTTTTCAAAGAATTTTCTTTCTTCTTTCACTGGGAATAAGCAGCAACAAGGAATATCTGGAAAGCAAAACACGACTACATTGACCGCAATGCTAAATCAGTTTCGAATGGCGCTCCTCTCGCACACATTCATTTGTCTCGTGTATGACCTATGGCGTATTACTGAATGTTACGTGTGATCGAGTAAAAATCATACACCAGGCAATGGCGAATTTCGGCGTCTTCGCTTGAAGCTGGGAGGCGTTTATTAAACGCCTCTTTTGTGTCGAGAAAAAAAACCTATCAGATGCGCGCAAATAAATGCTTATGACTTTTTATAAAGTGTGTGTGTTAAGAATTTGTCAAACTCTCACTTCCGAAGTTGGAAGTACTGTTATCGGTTGCAGTATGTCTTGAGTTGTTCCAACTGGAACTGGAAGAGAGAGCGATGAGTAACGACTAACCGAACAACGAATTTGATACGCTGAAATGTATGGTGCCGTGATGTCTCAGTAGGTGCTGACATATCAACTAAACAAATGCAAAGAAACCGAATAACAAAAAACATTTTTTTGGTTCCGTATAGAACTGTTATACAACTTACGCAGAATTTACAAAGTAATGTCAAGTTGCTCTCTGAATTTTAAGAAGTGGTAGATTCCATATCCGTTGCTACCTTTTTTTAATTATTCTTCTTATTTTTGTTTTTGATTACGTGCGTTTGTATATATCTGTGTTGATTATTTATTGGTTTATATTTATATCTTTATGTAGTTTATTAACATTGACTTCTGTTTGTTCATTCTACATATCCGCCAAACGCCGTACTTTTGCTTTGTTGGGCTTTGAGTTTTGGGCTTCTGTGAGATCGCAGAAAGCTCAAGCCTCTGAATTGGTTGCTCCTCCCCTTAACTTGACTACAATTGTGAACTATGTGGGCATCTCGTCTCTAAATTTTTTAACGGCTATCTTCATTCTGCTTCATTCTTTTCTATAAGTAAAAATCATAAAGATACAAATAAGATTTCCTCTCTTTCCCACCCGATATCGCTGACGGACGGATTAGTTCTCTTCGTGTCAGCTGTGCGGATACAACAAGGTTATCTGCTCCCACTGATCAAATTCTATCCTGAAATATCGAGAAAGAAGAAGAAAAATGTTTTGTTGTTTTATAAGATAGTCACCTTTTTCTCGGCCGTTCCAGTAAGACAACCTTCTCTTCCAAGCATGCGCCTGCAGTGACTCAAAAGAATAATTAAATGCTACAAGAATAAAAGAAAAAATCTTTTGAGAAATAAATGAAAAGCGTATGACTGACTACTTCAAATTCCCTACGTTGAAGTGTAAATTTAATTATTACAACCACCAAAATTATTGTAAATGCCTCGAAAAGATGAAATCTTACTTCTCTTCATTATCTTGTTAATTCTACAAGAAGGATCTCTACATTCTCTGCATCAATGCCTTTTAACGGGTCTGACTCCTCTGAATATTATGGAATCTCGAATCTCTTTCCCGACTACTTGCAACGAAATGTTTCTACTGTTGGTAACTATCCGTACCAGACAATTAACACGGTTTCAGTTCCCAGCTTAGTCATTTCGGAACATGATGCATAATAAAGTTTAAGTTCATTAAAGTATAGTTGCTCAGTTGCTAGTTCTTAAATCATCGAAAAATTTTGCGAGGCTGTACCAATTATTTTTAACCTCTCTTAAAAGCTGGAGTTCTCCCGTCGTGTTTGGTGAGTAGTTCTTTATTACACTGCACAAATGTAAAAGTAGACATCTCGTGGAAACTATAGGGCCGTTGCCAAATTGAGTGTTTTACAAAAACTGTTTCACCGAATTGTTATCACCGTATTCTTGTCCCTATTAAAGCAGCTATTTCTCCATTTACATATGCCTTCCTAAAAGGAAGATCAACTGTTACAATATTTTTAGAATTTACTTGTCATGTTTGTAAGGCTCACAAACAGATGTCTTATATACAGACATCAGCAAAGCTTTTGACTGTATTGATTTTTAAGCTGCTACCATTGGGTTTCTCATCATAGATAAACTTTCTTCTTCATAATAGATCGTTGAAAATTCTTTTCAAATCCCTTATATCCGATGAATTCTCCGTGACGTCCCTCAAGGTAGTTAGTTAGGACTCTCACATTTCTCCTGTACATTAATGATCTTCCATCGGTGATTAAATCAGCTCATACCTTAATGTATGGGAATGAAGTTGTTGTCTTCCTTTACCTCGATCACGCACTTCTGTGTCTTTCAATCCGATATAAGTAATTTGTTTATATGGTGCTCATGTAACTTTACGATGTTAAACCTAAAAAAAGGAAAACGTTGTCGTTCCCCAGGAGAAATTCATTTGCCATTGGGTATTTCAATTAATCACAAAAATTGGAATATGTAGATTCAAAGATCCAAAGATTACGTTGTAATCTGCACACTAAGCTTTCCATTAATAAGTTTAGGTCTGCGCTTGACTTTCATAGGTGAGACCAATACTTGAATATGTGTCAATCATGTGGTCGCCTTCCTTTCCATGTTACCTTCGTCCAATAGAATCATTTCAAAGGCAACTCTTGCTTTTCGTCCTTAGGATTTTGGGATGGGATTCGGTTGTCTCCTTGCTACCTTCGTTGGATAAGCGTACGTCTTTCCTAGGTTTTCCATTCTTAGTTAGGTTAGTAAAGCGCGCTGTCGACTATCCTACCTTATTAACAGAGATTAACTTCAATGTTCCTAGCTTAGCAGAGATTTATGAGCTTTTCAGTTCGTTCAGGCTGCTTTGCAAAAACTTAAATGATATCTATAATTTTATCTCAACATCGGACTCTTCAAATACTATTAAATCAACTCTCATAAATATGCGCGTCTTGCCTGCGGCGGATCTAAATTAACCTTTAATCTTCAAAGTTTCGTATGATTCGTAATCAAGCTAATTATGTATGCTATTTTTGATTGCCAAGCTTTTGCGTATTCGCATCAGTTTAGTGGTGCGAGTGTGCCCCTGCGCAGCCTTTTTTTTATTTTATTGTTTATTATTTGAATTTGATCTTCGTTGTCTCTTTATATTTAATTTATAAATGTTCGTCCCAATGTTTAGCTTAAGATTGGGTTTAAGAGTTTGCTATATTTGGCTGTTACTTTAGTGGAACCAAATTGCACGTGAAAATTCGTAGGCATTTTTTCTTTTGCAAGAAATAAAAATATTACGGTTTATGCGGAATATTGCAATATATATGTAGACATTAAAAGCAAAGAAGTTAAAGGACAAATATAAATTTTTTATTTTATGTAAATTAAATTTTTTTTAAAAAAAAATTATTACTTAAAAGAAAAAGAGCGTGAAGCTTTATTTAAATATAACTAACAAGGACATGATTTGGGCACAGTGACTTCCCAAACGTAGCTTTTATAAAGGATGTGAAGATAAATTCGAATTTAACTAGCAAAGACACCTACCATTTCCGTTAACCATTTAACAGAGCTCTGTTAAATAATTACAATTGAGATATAGTTGGATTTGAAAGCCTACTCCGTCCATACTAAAAAAAGGAAAATATTTTTGTGGACATTTCATGAATCTATATGAAAACACCTTTCAAACAAACTAAACAAATTCAAATTCTGCCTGTGGGAACTATTTTTAACGATGTTTTCAAATTTGGTATATTAGCGAAAAATGGATACGGGATAACGGGCAAATTTGAGACTAGTGCGGCCACCGAGTTAGAAGAATTTTTGATTTCATTTTCTTCATTCGTTGTCCTTCGATTGATACACCAGTCATTTCAAATGTGACACTAACGGGTTAAATAATTTGCTAGTAAACGTTTAGCATGATCTGTGCCCACGTGGCTTTGCGTCGTTTCTCTCTGGTCGTCATTACATCTTGGAAAATAAGGCTGGTTATGAACGTGTTTTTTCCCGTTTTTCCAATCGAAAAGCAATGTTTAAACAACACAAGAAAATCAAATTTTCCCATTATTTTGAAAATTAAAAAAGTAGCGTTACTAAAACAACTGCAATTGCCAAAATATTATGAAATTTTGACATCTATCATTTGAAAGTTGGCAGTATACGGAAATCGTAAGAGAATTCGGAAAAAGACTTCAAATACTTCAAAAAATTTCCCTAGGACGTTTGCTCTTGCCAATTCTTTTTGCATGTTTATGTGTTTCTCCAAAATTTTTTTAATGAAATTCTCAAAAGATATAAACATGTATGCGATTGTGATCCGCGGTCATGTACAGTACTTTGAAAATTTTAATTTTTATTGTTTTACTAAATTTTGCGCCTTCCTCGGAGATTTCCAGCAAAAGAAGATAGTAGGGAAGTTATTGGGGAATCTCATGCTCAACAGAAACACCTACTTACCTTTTGGGGTCTCTTAAGCATCCTTTTGGATGCGTGACGACAAAATTCGTGTCATTCCTTTACTCAGAAAAATTCCTAAAATGTTTACTTTCATATTAAATATTAATAAAACGAAAAATATGAAAAAAATTATTTTGTGAATAATACATAATAAAGCGGTCTAGCAAAGAATGCCATTTAAAATTAGTTGTTCTTTATTATAAAATTTTTCAGCTGTCGTCGCAATATTATAAAACAATAAAATTTAATAGATCACACACATGTTGTATGTCATAGGAATAGATATGAATACAAGAGAAGCAATATTCGCAATCGGCAAAAGCAATCATCAGTCAAAAGAATAAATGAAAGAAAGTCTTCTACTCTCCGCGATTACTGCTGTTAAGTTATATTGCACGAGTACACTGAGGGATGAACACCGACAAACTTATACGTGTACATACAATGGTGGACATGTATTTTACATAGGCGTGAGGTCTCTTTCTTAATACATAAGAACATAGCAAATCATCATCATCATCTATTTCTAAGAGGACAAAGTCATGCTAAAGAGTGATTTTAGCCTGAAGGGTTGTAAAAAAAAAGGTAACTAAATAAAAAAGAAAGAGCGAAGCAGAAGAAAACAAATAGGAAATTGTGGAATACATATATTTTACAGCTTAGTGTCGCAAATTCCTTGTAAGACAGTTTATTAGGAGACGATTGTGGGGAGATGGCTCGATGGTAGGCAGTTATAAGAAAACGAAGAAATCGTTATGGTTGCGAAAACGTGTGAACGCTTGACTCACACGGTGGCGACAACAACAACAGCGGCGACAATTGTCAGTGATTAAACAGTTGTTGAGTGGCTGTGACAGCTGACTGATGTCGTACAATCGGTTTTTTAAATATTGTTTCTGCTATGTCCCGTTACCGGTAAATGTATACGTGTACGCAATCTGCCTACCGTAACGACTACATTTAGGCAATCGGGGAATACATCCTTAATGCCAGCCACTTGCTTTGTTTTTTGGAGCCAAGACGACTTATTGATTTTGTATAGATTTAAAACTTCCGTGTATGACTATAATTACGTTTTTAATAATAGTAATAGTAATAAGCAAGAATAATATTAAAGATATTGATTTTAAAAAGTTTCAAAATACTTGTTAGCTCGAAAAGAGAAACTTTACATATATTGTTATGATTGAAAGAGTTACAAATTGATTATACTTTTTATATGGGGTTTTTCTTAATGTTTATTCGCAATGAAGTTTTACAATTTTGGGTTAATATAAACCAGCAACAAAATCTAAAATCGTATCTTAAGGCATTTCAACTACCGATTACATTTGATGTAATAGGAAAAATAACGTTTTATTGTAATGAATATATAGGAAATTAAGTAGAAAAGAACGTATAGTAATAAAAATCAGATTAGAACAGAGCAAGAGCGTAATATTCTGATTAGCACGGTAACTACAAAAAAGAAAAAAACCGCGCAAATTACATGATTGAAAGCAAAGTCGTAAGCTGAGTGGGCTTTGATTTTTTGATGATTAGGTTCACAGCAAACATTTACAAGGGTGTTTTCAAAATCTAAAAAAAGGCGTAATTAAGGCGCACCAGAGAGTCTCTCTATGGTGGATAGAAGACGTAATGGGGTAACAATATTTGAAAAAGTTACTACGCATAAAAGATAGCCCATAATGTTGGTGATGCAAATTTGAAACTAAAAAAAGAGCTGTTGCGATATGTAAGGGGCATATTTTAAATTTGATTTTTATGTGAAAATGTTCAATTTACGTACAATCTGCGACCAAAAAGGGGCATTGATTTTCTTAGAATAGGTAATGTTTGAATTAACTTATCGAGTGCCCATTGTATTGCAATACAAACATTTTATATTGCACAGAATCCGAATGAAAAGAGTAAAAATTGTAGGAGGCTGTTTTGTCAAGGGTCTCGGTTTGGGGCTTTGAAAAATTCTGTTTCGAGAAAACACGCTAAGATTGCCTGATTTCATAACTGAAAAAAATTTTAATGAAAAAAAGAAAACTATTCGCGGAATCTCTTTTAAATTAGCTGAAACCAAAACAGAAAAAAACAATGTTAACGTTGAAGGACTTATCTCTCAATCAAGCAAACATATTCTGGCGGAGCTGTGTTGCAAGCAAGAGCATTGAAACGTTTCTCTTTAGAAAAATGGAAAGAATATTGATTGACATGAAGTTGCATTAATAACATTATTACTTCTTCTTAAGTGGAATTTCCCCCCTCCTAAAAAGCCGAGACTCGAATTTCGCCATACATTTTCCTGCCACCAGTGATTTGCAATAATGGATTTATAGTGACGCGGGCGCTTATTAACGTTTTGTTGCCACTCTATTTTTGTCTACCTTTTGTATAAGGTTTTGTGTATAAAGATTGAGAGTTTTACATATAAACATATTTATGCTAAAATAAAACGGGAATGGTTCATTAAAGGAGCTCTTCTACATCGGCATATGGAATTTTATTCATTTTTAAAAATTGATCTTAAATGTTTTTATATAAAATGATGCTCTTATTGTGCTGTACACAAAATAAATGTTTATGTACACAAGAATAAAATCCATTATATTTAAAAAAAAAAAAAGAAACTTGAATATGAGTATAGTAAAAATATTACATATATAGACATGCAGCACTCTCGTCCACTTAAACACCGCTTTTGTGCACTTTTCTTTGCCTTTTAAAATGTTTATATAAACCATAGAAAAATTCCCATTAACATTTAAAGATATTTTCATACTTGTACGTGTGACACAAAACTTAATATAGGGTGTCCAATCTACTGCTTTTTTCTTTTCGATTCAAGAAAACGGCGGACAGCTTCAAAATTATTTCATATGGGAAATGTGGAGACTATGCCGTTGACCTTCAATGGTATGGAAACGAAATGAATGGAAAAAAAATTCGGCAGTACAAACATCTATACAACTTCAATATATCCAACCAATATCACGCAAATCAACATAAGAGTGTTCGTCTTGCTTATGTAATTGTAAACAACCAATGAATCCTTTAGATATCTACTCCTCCAGTTCGCGTTGGTAGGCAAAATTTTAATTTTAAACACTTAATTTTCAAAAGCTAAAAACTTTCAAAATTCAAAGATTCGCCTACGCTATTCTTATGGGCTAATTATATAAAACGAAGTTCTTGCAGAAAAGCAATAATAATATCAATAAAGTTGTATATATTGACAATTTTCCCTGCTCGAATTCTTATTTTTGAGATAAGTATATTACAATAATAATCGTAATAATAATAATAATAGCAATGATAACGAAAGATTATCGAAACTAAGTACAAATGGAATTTCGTTTTGCCTTCGAGGTCTATTCTTCCTCTTGAAACCTATTTTCTATTTTATGAATACGTTAACAAACAAAATTATAGCTTTGTTGAAACAAGAGTAAATCGTTATGTTCTTTATGGAGAGCCACCTAATTATTAGAAAGTTGCCGATTAGTATGTGTTCTGAGCTCATGATATCGTTGTTATTTTTCTTTAAAAATTTCCGTGAAGAGGTCATAGCAGTGAAGCATAATAGCCAATTTAGACTTATGAATCGTATGGAACCTCTGTATTTTTCGAGTTGTTGCGCGGTGTTTCACCAGCCATAGAGAAACGAGATGGCAATAAGCCACGAAGATCGTGCGATTTTTGCCCCAAAGCGAATAAATCGCATAAGCAAAATTCGCGGAGAAGTTCAACCCGTGGGACCCGTGGGCAATTGTAATGTAAAGTATTTGGAAATTTATATCCTCAAACGCAGGCTTGTATGAGGAACTTTAATGGTACCTATGAATGACGTTGTTTTTCGGATATAAATGCTACGGTACCAACTTACATTATGAATGAAAAACACTGATTTTCCAAAAGACTTAAGTTAAAAAACATATTGCAAGAAAATTATTGAACACCCTATACACAAATAAATTGTTTTCTCTTTTTGGTTTATGCCTATCTCCGTTCAGAAAGTAACGTTACAGCAAATTGAGAAACTATGGCTTCATGAATCAATGAACTTTGTTTGTCATAGCAATTTTATATCAGTCTTCATTGTTCGTCTGTTCTCCAAAGTAAAAATTAGCAAACCATTTATTCGGAATTTGCACTAATGCTTGCTAATTGGTCTTTTTCCTTTTCAATGTGAAAACAGCAAAATAAGAAAGCCGTTTATGGTTTAGAAGGCCGCGCGTTCAAAATCCGCCAACTAATTATAAACCCAATCTATATTCAGTAGTAAAAATGGAATATACATATATGATTTCTTTTAATAGAAATATATTTGAAATGAGTCATTATGATTACAAGATATTAAAGTTTTTGCAATAGTTGAAGCATTGCTACTTTTATGTTATGATACTCTCCATTTAAAATATTGGGTAACACTAATTAAGTCATTCCACTTGTAACATAAACAAAATAAAGACACCGAAACTCTCAGACGTACAAAGTAGGTGTCAGTTTGTCTTGTATAGACAGTTGTTCAAATTAGCCACAGTTTGTCGCGAAAATTGGAAATTTGGACTTGCACTCCTCCAAGAATGTCAATATTATTTACAAAGACTAACGATAGACATAACCTGCTTTCTTTCTATCCTTATTAGCTGAAAAATTCTTTCATCAACTACCAATTTTCCAAGAGCGGACTTCGATAATGAAAATTCAATGGACGCCTTAGCTTGCTCGCCTTTAAAAGAAACCTACCGCGCATGATGGGCATCCGAAGTGCGCACCAAAACTGCCGCAGTTTTCTTATTTAATTTTGTTTTACGCGAAGAAACCATCACGTCATGCCAGCATATAAGCATGCATAGTAGCAATCACTAATTGCGTTTCATTTGTATGCCTGCTATGTGTAACACATAAAAATTATGTGTTCACATATTTGAAATTGTAAACATTTTTTTACTCCACCAAATGTGTACAAAATGTATCATGGTAAGTACTATAAAGAAAAGAAAGAAATATTCACAACACTCTCAGTTTCTCCATTACACTGAATTTTCTTTGCAATAACTGTAGCAGTCGTCTAAGTAAGACTGAATAGGTGAAGCAAGCAAAAGGCGAGTGTTTCTTAAAGCGCATCACCATTTGCTTCGTAAGTAGAATTTGGAAGCGTTTTCTTCAGAATTTATTTTTAATGAATTTTTTTTTTTTTTTCTTACAAGTTAATTTTTATTTTACTTATTCATGAATAAATTAAAATTATTAAAACTACGCGCACAAAAGTAACTTGAGGAAGGCTTTCAAAAAGCTATTAAAATTTTCATTTCATTTATTTTAAAAGTGTTCCAATTTAAACATTCACGATCGAACGTACATCAACTTTACTAATATAATGTATAGAACAGTGGGTACATATATTCTGGAGTCATGAAAAATTGAGCGGATTTAGCTCTTTATCGTAACGGAGTTTGGAGTAAATTCGTTCGCTGATTGAATTAAGGTCAAGTCAAGCGAAAAGCATTTCTTTGGCGTGTCGTATGGGCGGAAAAGACAATTTTCGGATCAGCCAATAAAAGGTCTGTTTAAGAATAAGAGAGACTGCACCAACCAAGACTTTGAATTTGGAAGAAAAATGGATTTGGGAGGAAAATCGTTCCATAACATTATCAAAAAAAATTAAGATTAGATTTGCAAAAGATGAACGATAAGAAGCCGAAAAGATATCAATATATATAAGAGTCTTTAAGTACTTTTTATTAATCTCTTTATATACCTTGCAAAAAGTGGAAAGTTGACCTGGGGAACCTCCTGTTTATTTGCGATATCGTGCCGGCAAATAAACATCGAGCTTAATTTCACACCGGACTGTACCACTGGACACATTAGTGTATCTATCAGAGATCGACGTAGAAACGTAAATTAGGAAATTGGATTTTTAAGAAAACTTTTAGATTACATTTAAAAATCGTCTAAATTTGTCTACAATAAAATAATCCATAACTTATAAACTATAGCGCTATCGCGGTAGATTAAGTTTGCGGGTAGTATTTACTGTAACAACAGGTCCACATGATGTTTTAAAAGGGTATGATCTTTCAAAAAGAAATGAATTTCACCAATCTGCCTTATATAAGCACATTTTGTAATGTCGTTAAGAGCATATGTTCGTTTGTACGACCTTATTTATTTATTTATTTTCATATCCACCACTGTAAGATGGTTGTTTTTCTACGTAATGTATGTAATACCCAAAAGGATGCTTCAGAGACCTTATAAGGTATACATATTCTTGGTCAGGGTGAAATTCTGTATTGATTTCGATATGTCTGTCCGTCTATGTGTCCCTGTGGTCTGCGTTGTTGGCACTCTCTTGGTCGCAAAAATGAAGATATCGATTTCAAATTTGATAGAAACATTGGAAGTTTTTGCACGCAAGTTAGTATTGAAAACCGGCCAAATTGGTGAGAGCAGAAGCCCGCAGAGAAGCATAAAGTGAACGCAACTCCGTTTTTCTTAATAAAAATTTGTTGGTTTTTGCTCGTTACTCCGAAATTATAAAAATTAAAAGGGTGAAATTTTCCAAATTTAAACATAACTTTCTTTACTAGTTTTATATAATTTTTTTTTTTCTTTTCTAAATTTTTACAGGGATATTTTTCACGTACTACAATACAAGCAAATCAAATCAACAATCAAGTGTCTAATTAATTTCAACAGAATTTTAATTCAGCATCAAGCATTAGTCATGATTGATTTAAGAATTAACTGAAGAACTTTTTAGCAGACAGCATGTTACATGAATAATGTTATTTAAGTTGTCCTGCTAAGCTGGTTATACGTCATTGCCACCTCATGTGCACTGATTTCGAAGCACGCTAAAAATTTTAATAATTTATATAATAAAAGAAAATAATATAATTGTGTGTAGATCATACGACTTGCCAGATGCTAGAAACATATCGAAACGACAATTTCACTTGGGATACCACTTCTTATTTCTTTCGAAATTTGAAATCCGTAATATTGTTCTCAGTCGAATAAAAGCAATATTTTCTGTTTTTTTTTTTTTTTTTTTTTTTAAGGTGGACCGGTCGGAACCATCTTCAATAGGGTTCGTCGAGGCATGTCAGTGCACTAAACTTCGTCGAAATATCGCAAAAATTCCGACTTGCAAGTTGGACACAAAAATACGTGAGTACTCATCAGACGGACAGACAGGCAAATAAGCTTAGATCGATTCAGAAACTGATTCGGAGAGTATAATAAATGTTCGTCTATCTCAAGCGTCGCTGGGTGTTACACACGTCCACGAAACCTAATATAACGCATACTAAAAACGGTACTCAATTATTAAAAAATTCCATTAAAAAACCAATAAAAGGCAATCTTCTAAACTTTTAAAAAAAACTTAAAAAAAAGTTTAGAAGATTGGCTTCTTTTGGTATGGATCATAAATTTTCGACTTGGGATTCAAATTATTTGCCTTTGATAATAGCATGAAAGCTTAACGAGCCAAAATTTTCAGAAATGAAAGGCAAAAAGACTAAAAAGTAAAAACGGTCTTATTTGGCAGACACCTTTGAAAAACCGGCGATTCAGGAGCCAGTTTACGTTTCCTGTATTTATTTTGAAGGTATCGTCGCATAAAAACTACATTCACCATCTGGCGAACCTTTAACAGATTTTTTCCAATTGTATTGTTTTCAGTACATGCATAAAACGTAAGCACGTAAGAACATAAAAAAAAATTTTTTGCTATTACTGTTTTCTAGAATGTAGTGATGTTGAAATGTGCACCGATAACGATTGATTTGGCAAAGGAAAAAAAATATACCTTCTCTTATAAGTACGAAAAAAAAGCAATTATTGTATTTATTAGTGTGAACCGTTGTCGGTACACGTGGCGTGGAAACGATATCTAGCCGTAAACAGCGCGCAGTAAATGCATTCTTAGCCACTATCTCAAACTAATACAAAAAATTTGCAGTATTTCTTTAGGTGCGTCGAGCAGAGTTCTATGAATTCAACTTCCAAGTGATCTCAAGCAACGTCGGTGCACAACTTTAATTTTTGATATATTTCACAGATCATAAATTTCTAGGCTATTGAAGGCGTGCCGAATCTGTATTTAAACTTGATCTGCCGCCAACTAAACTAAGAATATATTTATGTCAAATCTCGGGCCAAATTTTTTTGGCAAAACAAAGACAACTAAGTCGACCTAGAATCTTTTACTAAATAGAAAGTTTTGGTGACAACTTTGGTGTGCGTTTTTGGGGTATTACAATCGCAAGGACAAACTACTATATATCCAAAGGACTTTGTGTTGATATTTTTTGTAGTTTATACAATCTTAGCTACTTTCTACCTTGTTATAGGGTGGATAGAAGATAAGCTGAATACATATTATGTGCCATTGACTGTAAATGTTAAAACAGTGCAATCAATAAAATATAGATCACGAAAAGAATTCTTAAAAATAAATTTTGATGACAAATAAATTGGTAATCTTGGTTGCGATCGGGTAGGTTTGTTTACGGTTGTAATTATTTTGTACACTTCTGTTATATAATAATAAATAAATACGGCGCTTGTGCCTTGGAATTTTGAGTTTGGTCTATCTTTTGATTATTTTAACATTTATTTGATATGCATTTGCTTCGTTGTTGAGTGGCGATTATGTGGATGTGTTCGCGGCTCACGGCGTACGCGCCAGCTGATTGAGTTATGGCTGTGTTATGTGCGTACTGTAAGATTGCAGACCACGGCAAAAACGCTGTGTTTTATTCTCACTATGGATGTAAATATCAATTGTGATACTCAAAAAGGGATGTGCTTTTGTTACAGAGGTTTTTTGTCAATTTCATATGCAACAGCTAATGCGTGCCTCCTCTCACACTTGCTGGAGCAATGTTTTGAACGTTGCCGACGTTAGTAATAAGTTCTCTTATTTAACGTATTACCGTTTACCGTTGTTATTTAATAAATGTCATTGAAGACATGGAAGTTACTACTTCCAAGCCGCCGTCGTTTTGAAGTGAATTCAAAAGACCGTTGGAGTCTGTAGTGGGGTATACAAAATCTGGAAAAGCCGTCCCAATGGCATTAATTGGGAGATTTCCCGTTTGCGCAGAAATAGGGTTCATAACGTTGCTCCTAAGGTGCCTTGCGAGAATCTGCAGGAAATTGACGTTAGAAAGGGCCCAATGAATGATCAGTTTTTGAGATCCAACTCAGGTTGCGGCACAGCGATACTTTTCAATACAAAGCCTTCACCGAGGACGAAGTATGTCTGCCTATGCTTAACAATAAATCAAATGCTGTCGGCCTGGATAATATTGGTATCAAGCTTATCAAGCTACCAAGTGTTACTATACCTTTGACTCATGCATTTAAACACATAATAACAGCTTTCTGATTTCCAGTTGCAATAGGGCAGTGCGCAAAGTTTTTCATTCGTCCGAGTTACGATAAGGAGAATTTAACCATTTTTGTTGTGATTGATTTCGCTAAGACCTTTGATACTGTTGACCACAACTTATGATTGCAAAAGCTCGAATTTCATTATGGCTTCAATTCATCTGCAATTAATTTAATTATTAACGTATGGTTATTGGCGATTCATCTTCAGAAGTAAATTTGATTGCGTCTGGTGTCCCGCAAAAATCCATTTTGGAACTTATCTTATTTAGTGCCTTTATAAACGACTTAGCCGCTTGTTGTCTCATTTGTAGCGTTCACTTATACGCTGGTTTAGAGATTCAAGCAATTTGTCGTAAATAAATGTATTAGGTGCGTCCATAAGCTTATACGGACGCGAACACTAAGTGTTGACATGAGGAACTTCAGTCCGCGAAAACTGAACGGACGATGAGTCTAATCCTACGTTTGGTCAGAAGTACTTATCTTCAAGGCTATTCTTTATTAACGCTGTAGAGTTACTGCTGTGGCTCCATATCAAAATGATTGTTAACCCGAGTAGATTTAAAATAGCATTAAAGGCTTTTTGTAACTTAGGATCACGTTTAAATCTTGGCCTTATATCTTACATTGTACAATTAAGTTATGTTCTTTACATGTATAACCTTTACTGTTGTTCGCGATTATGTCGAAAGAGACTTTATAGTCCTGCTGGCACATTAGTCATTAATTGTAGTAATGATTATTATTGTCTAATGAAATGGTCATTAATAATTATTATTATTATTAATTAATAAATGAAACTTAAACTTAAATATTTGGTTAGATAATCAAAGCCTTAGTGAACATTGTAACTCTTTTAATTGAATATCTTCCTTCTTTACATCGAGTGACATGAATTATTTTATGACGGAGGATTTTAATTTAGCTTTACTTTATGGCAAGAATTAGAATAAAAATTTTCATTTTGGAAAAAGTTTCATTTTCACTTTAAAGATTCTTATTCGCGAATAAAAATTTTCAATCCATTTATTTCCATGAATTGTTGCAAACAAAAAGCTTCTAGTAAGAGAGCAAATCAGCAGAATACCTCGAACCAGAACTACTTCCTAATGAAATTTCTAAAATATTATTGTAAGATATACTAAGCACAGTAAGCTCACTAATCCGTTGATTTTCGAAAGCACTGACCTTTGATTTGTTTATGAAGCTGCTTTGTTTCACTTATTTTTGTCGCAAAACAAAAATCGACGCCATAACGGCTTTCTTCTCATGAGGTCTAAGAATCTATCAGTGCAAACCGATAATCGATGACTCTAATAAATTTATGCGTTAAATCAGTATTTTTTTTTTTTTTAATTTTCTACACCTTATATCTTTCCTTCATATATAGGTTTCTTTTTTTTGGAAATTTTTGTAGAGAACAAATAGGTTAGAAAAAGCCACATTCCATCCAAATATTTTACGTTCATTTAAATATGCCAATATGTAATTTTTTACCAATTTCTTCAAAAAATATTAAAAACTTAAAAAGGAAAATTTGTGTTTTTCAAAACAATGGTTTCTATGCGTAGCGTTCCTAGTCAATTCATTTTATTTGGGTTTCATCTGCAGCCCAATGTTTCAAAAATTGCAGCCTGTAAATTGACCACATAAATAATAGGAAGACGTCAAACAGGTTGACGGACACATATATTTAGTTAAACGTTACATAAACCCGCACAAACTTAATGTGCGATTCCCACAATTGACGTGCGGTTTTTTAATTTTCTCTTTAATCGTCCTGTTACTTTGCAATTTCTACATATCAAAGTGCACAGGCTGCATCTAGGCTGAAGTACATATCTTCAGGCCGAAACGTATAGAACGCAGTTTGTTGTGGTTGTTGTTATCCGTCAAAAAATGTCACATAAGGAAAAACGGACGTTTTATTGGCGAATTGGGACAAATAATAAGAAATGGCCACACTACGATAATCAAAATCGCTTGGTGCATACCAGAAAGGAAATATTGTCGTGGAAACAAACCCAAATATTTACGGTAGTTTACGCTTTAGATTTGGTACAGGTATCCTTAACACAAAATGCTATGTATCATGAACTAATGGGTTCGAAACCTTTCTTCCTTCTTTTAAAGAAAAGCATTGGTTTATCTAATTTACAATCGAAACTTTCAAGATATTTTAATACAATTCTGTTAAGAGTGAATTCGATCAGAGCATTTTTACACAATCATTTCCCAAATAATTGTATGATATGAAGTAATCGTTGCCAAGCAGTTTAGTGTACTGAATGGCGTCCTTAGTTGATTATAAAGTTTTTCATTGTTTTTAATTTCACTTAATTTTTGATCTTGCTTTTCTATTTTTGTCGTATGGTGCATATGTTTTCAAACATAGGCACATGAATGGAACTTTGACCTTTATTGCATTTCAATTTTGAGTAACAGTTGTATTAGATATAATATATATCATGGTTTCCGATGGGTATTGTAGACAATTCAAGTGTAAAATTGTAAAGTTTTTCTAAAATAGAAATGTAGTGAATGTTAATGAAATTTCTTAATGTCTTTCCAGGATAATTTGTTAAATAACTATATGTTCTCTATATAATTTTCTAGAATGGAAATACAAAGGGTTAGCAATCATTTAAATAATGCATTAATATCACCTCCAAATGGCTCCAGCCCGCAAGCAGCTGACTCGAATATGGCAGAACAGCAATCACGACAGCAAACAGGGTCAATTCAATTTAATGAAAACCTTACTCAAATCAGTCGCAGTAACAGTCCGGCCAGTTCCAACTCAGAAATTGAAAAGGAGCTCCAGGGAGTCGACTTAAACAGTTCGATAAATAGTGGTAGCATCAGTTTAGGTGCTGAAATTAATTTCAAATCGAATGGTTCGTTAAGTGGAGCGTCTTCAGCTTCGACAACTGGTTTAGTTGCAAATATAGGTCTTATCGATGTTGGGGGGGGAGGTGACGCCTGCGTCACCGCCGTTGCTTTAGCATTGACAAATGGTACTTCTGGCGCATTGCCAGCAGTGACTACGATGCAGGTTGCTAACAGTGTGGTAGCGGCGGTAAATATCAAAAAACGAATCACTAGCAGTCGTACGCCAACTCGCAAAGCAAGACGAGTCAAATTTTATCGCAATGGAGATCGCTTCTACCCCGGTATAACCATTCCAGTTTCAAATGAACGTTATAGGTTAATAAGACAGAGTTGAATCGTAAAAGCAATATCTAAAATTTTTTTCTTAATCATTTCAGATCATTTGAAAGTCTTTTTATTGATTTAACTCGACTTTTAGAAGAAAACGTTAAAATTCCTGGTGCGGTACGCACTATCTACACCATGTGTGGCAAAAAGGTTTGTTTGCAAAAAAAATATTGCAAAATGTCCTTTCCTTGAATTTTGTGTTGTAAATCGTAGATCTCCTCTTTGGAAGAATTAGAAGATGGCCAAAGTTATGTTTGTTCCTGCAATAATGAGAACTTCAAAAAGGTCGAATATAATACCACATCACAGCCACTAGCCAACCTTACTCTGTCCAATAAAACCAGCAATCGTATTTCCAAATTTTATCGCCCTTCATCACCTTTAAAGAATGGAAGCAGTGGCCTTACTGTTAACAGTGCAGTAATCGTTGGTGGTACTAATATTGGCACTAATATAATCGCTGGTAGCGGCGCCGCCAGTGTTGGCGGTTGTGCCACGAATGGTAGTCCCGTGTTAACAAAAACAAATGAACGTGATAGTGTGGTACATCCGCGCATAGTAACTCTTATACGCAATGGCACCAAACCTCGAAAGGTACAGGAACATAATGTTTCGAGAAAAGTTAAAATTCATACAACGATAATTTCTTGTTTTTCAAGCTTATGCGTTTGTTATTAAATAAACGAAATAGTCCTACATTCGACCATGTTTTGACCGCCATTACTCAAAAAGTTAAATTGGATACAGGTTATGTTCGGAAAGTATTCACCTTATCTGGTAATCCGGTAACACAGTTAGCAGATTTCTTTGGCCCTGATGACGTGTTCTTTGCTTATGGCACTGAGCGTCTTAATAATCCGGATGATTTCAAATTGGAATCAGATGAACAGAAAGCCTTACAAGCAATTCGCAAGACATTGCGAACTGCTGGTACCACTTGCGAAGGACCGAAACCTAAAATGCCCGTCAAAAGTAAGAAAACGTACGATGAAGAAGAATCCTCTATCTTGAATAATAGTGGAATTGATGCTAATGATTTGCCGACTGTCATAAAGGAACGTTACGTCTTGGGTCAAATAATCGGTGATGGAAATTTTGCTGTGGTACTTAAGATTAAAAATCGTCAAACTGGTTTGCCATATGCTTTGAAAATCATAGATAAAAGTAAATGCAAAGGCAAGGAACATTATATAGATGCTGAGGTGCGTGTTATGAAGAAACTATCACATTCCCACATCATATCTTTAATAACGGACGTCGATCAACAAGCCAACATGTATTTGGTGCTAGAATATGTTAGCGGTGAGTGAGAGCGGCCAAGTTTTATAATAAAGGATGCAATTTGATATAAAACCCAAATTTTTCACTGCTTACCAGGTGGTGATCTGTTTGATGCTATCACCCGTGTTACGCGTTTTTCAGAGGACCAAGCACGTGTTATGATCAAACATTTGGCCTCAGCCATGTCTTACTTACATTCCATAAGCATTGTACATCGCGACATTAAACCGGAAAATCTTTTAGTTAGTGGCAAAAAAGAAGGATTTCAATGTTTAAAGATGTGTTTAATTGATTATATTTTTAGGTGGAGTTGAACGAGGGAGGTGATGTTATTGAATTAAAATTGGCTGATTTCGGCTTGGCTTGTGAAGTAACTGAACCTTTGCACGCTGTTTGTGGTACACCTACGTACGTGGCGCCCGAAATATTATTGGAGTCTGGTTATGGCTTAAAGGTAAATTTTCATAACGAAATTTTATGTTTGTATTAAAAAAAAATGTTATTCTGCATCTATTTTGTTTTATTTAAAAAAAAATGCAGAACATATTTTATACCCATTAAAAAAAGAAAGAGGCATTTGTTCAATTTTTGTGATGCCACAGATATTCTATATATACTGCCCATCAAAGTGAATAATGGGATCGATCTTTCGATGGATCATTTTTATCTATCACTAATCCCTTCATTATTTTACTCCCCTAAAAGATTATCAAACGTATGAAAAGTAAATATCCACAGCAAAGCATTGCTTTGGTCAGGGTACTAGTTGTGCTCTTTCTGTATTTTGTATTTATTATATTAATTTTCTGGAGGATTTGTCTTCAGCTGCATACCACTTGTAGAAACAATTCCCTATCGGTTTTCTAAATTACATTATTTTGAATCTGAACGTTTGCCAAATTATGACTTTTACATGTGAAAGCAATTTCAAAGCAACAAGTTAACGTAACAGCATAAAGTCTTGAAGTCCTGAATAGGTTAAGTTTTTTGGTAAAAAAGCCACTTACGAGAATTTTGCACAATTGAAGAAATTCGTAAGCCTTACCTAGATTCTTTTCGCCATATTCTTTTTTAAGATTGATGTATGGGCCGCTGGAATTATACTTTACATACTTCTTTGCGGTTTTCCACCGTTTGTCGCACCAGACAATCAACAAGAGCCGTTATTTGATGCCATCATAGCGGGTTTTTATGAATTTCCCGATCCCTATTGGTCTGACATTGGCAATGAGGTGCGCGATCTCATTAACAATATGCTACAATCTGATCCCGATGTACGTTTCACCAGCGAAGATATACTCGACCATCATTGGACAATGGGTAACAACAGCTGAATAGCAGAACGTTCAGCTAAAAAAGCCACATCGTAGTTGTAGAAAACATTTAATAAATTCATTTCAAAAAGAAAACAATGGATTGGATATGCTTAATCAGAGCTTAAATAGAACTCAAAAAAGTGATGGCTGAGTTAGTTGGCTGGCAGAGTAGTCTAAGCTGTACGTGCATATATATTATATAGGAAGATACCTTGTAGTATTTTTATTTATAAATTATTTGTTTTTATATACATTTATTTTTAAGTTCTTCTTTAGTTTCTTTCATTCAACAAAAGAAACTAAATCAAGCAAAAACTGACAAAAAAATTAACAAAATAGGAAGAAATAATCTTAAAAAAATCCTCGTTTAAAGACTCTCAAAAGAAAAAAAAAAATTTACATATATATCTATATTATAAAAATCATTTATATAAACTTTCCACTATATCTTTTTCTTCTTACATATAAACAATTATATTTAAGTATTTAAATTAATCTTTATTCAAACAAAATTTTTATTTCTTTAATTTAAAATTCTTAACTATAATGTATTTTATTTTGTATAGTTTTTAAAAACTGTGTTTAAAACTTCAATTTTAAACAACGTACTTTCTAACACATCGAAAATTCATTTAAGAAAATTACTGTGCATAAACAAAAAATAAAAAGCACCAAATTAGTTTTTGTCTCCTTTTCTGTTTATTTTTCGCTGCTAATTTTATTTGAAACCAATTTTACGCGTTTAAATCGCGTTAATTATAATCGGATATGTTTTCGGTTAGCTTGCGTGTGAATAGATATTAATGTATTTTATACCGAACTTACTTAAGTTCCACTTTTTAAATTTAGAAATGATCTGCGAAATAGTCTTTCGGAGCTTGCTTCGCAAAAGAAGAAAAATTATTCCAATTTTCCAGTCGATACATCAAAATTTCAAGATATTTCGGCATATGTCAGCTTATCGTACGAAGTTTTAGATCAATATCTCCTTTACCCTATGAAACACCAGTGCACACATGTACCATTATGGGCAGTTCAATCAATTTTCTTTTTTGATTTGATTCACTAGCTGACCGCAATCCACTATGAGTAAGAGTTTCTTAATCATTACGACAAAATAAAAGGGAAATGTGTGGGTGACTGGGCTTGGTTAACGCAACTCAATTTTACATTAATCGGGAACGCATACAGGTTATTGTTTGGATACACTCTTTGCTATTTCTTCAGTTTTCTTACCTACAGTACAGTGAATCGAGTAATAAAAAGCCTTTTTGATAGTTTTAAAATGTTGAGGTTATTGTAATTTGTGATTAAAATTTGCTTTTGTTAAATTGACTGCCGTTAACATCTGCAGAAGACTTTATAAGCTTATGATAAACCGCACCGCTGTAATATGAAAGGGCGGGAATCGTGTCGATTTCGATTTGTCGTAGTTCTCGACATTGATTTTTAACAGTAATATATGATTTTATACTTTCAAAGAAGATCCGTTTTTAATAACCGACGACGTCATTACAACGCTTGTTTATTTAAAAAATACGTCCTCTAGGAGTTCTTCAAAATTCATTATATTTCTCATAATTATAATTTTTTTTTTTTTTTTTTTTTGGCATGTTGAGTGGAGATGGACTAAGCCAATAGATTTGTAGCTTATATGTCTAATTATAATTATAACAGAGAATATTTGATTCTTTTTTGTGTGAATCTTTCTTATCGGCCATCTCAAACCAATATGTAAATATTGGAAAACGTTGATTGTGCCTTTAATAAGCGATCCTTCAAAATTTTGTGCACAGATTCAAGTTTTTATTTTGGTACAATCTGAAAATCGCGCTTTATAAGAGTTTCGACGACTGGGAGCGTCTTTTCAATCCAATTGTTTAGTAAACATTTGTACCAAATTAGAAATTAATATCAATTATCGATTGAAAGGCATGTTGGATACTCTAATATTAAAGCTACTGCCGACGATAAATACTCCATAATTGTCAAAAAAGTTAATTCCTCTTTCTTAATTTTACTAATTTTAATGCTAAAGTAATCCATTGACTTCTAACTGCGTATGTGAGTTAGGATATTTAGCAAATTTTGCTTGTAATTTGCAGAAGCACGTTGTGAACAATCCATTCCACCAAGATTTTGGTGAGTAAGAATTGCAGATTTGTATATTAGATTTGACGATATTAATGTCGTGCTGAAATGAGTTCTGGATGAGGCTCAAGATTATTTAAAAGTTTTTTCCGCGAAATGAATTCATTTATTTTAAATGAAGATAAGACAAGATAATAAGATAAGATAATAAGGGAAAGGTGGCTATTTCCAAGATAAACTTCTTTTTTGACTTCCCATTTAAAAGTAATGTTAGTTGAACTATTGAAAGTAAGATCTAAACCGCTGCCACAACCATTAGAAATGGTAGGGGGTAAGTAGGTCGGAGTATTATCGTTAAGACAGTTGAAATTACTGAATTCCATATTTCACACAAAGCTTTGTCTCTATTATTTGACAAAGAGTCACCAAAGCAAGGGTGTCTTGTGTTAAAGCCTCCTGCAGTGATGACATTGTAATAGCTATCAAGCATATCACGGAGGCGTTTCATATCGTCCCAGAAAGATTGGATGGGAGTATTGAGTTTAAAATAACAAGTAGCTATGCCTATATTTGGTTTTAGAGAAGAAGTTGTAACAATTACAATGTTAGCAGCGGATTTGAAGAGAATTTGTTTGAAGGAGATGCCTTTCCTAGCTAAAATATCTACTGCTCCATAGCCATCACTCCTACATTTTCAAGCGGAGTTGTAATTAGGGATTTTAACGTCTGAGATCAGACAGAAAAATTTCACTCAAAGTTGCGAAATCAGTTCGACTGGAATTGAGGTGGTAATCCAATAATTAGGTATTGGGCCTGAAACTTTGAATATTGCATTGTAAGAAAGATGTCATTGGGAAATGCGCGGGGATGCCTTGTTTTAAAATGTCAAATTTTGATTCAAGGGTTGCAATTTCTGTTTGGATGGATTTTAGTTTTTCATCATGAGGAGTGGTGGAAAAAATTTTGAAAATCTTTTCCAATAATATTTCCATTCCTGTTGACTTGTGGTTATTGGTGCACATATGCTTTTCAGAAGGTTGGGGAGGTTTTTTTGCCTCCTGTATCCTAGTACTGGAAGTCGAGGGCATCTTGTGGATCGCTTTTTGCTTGGGGTTGGGAATACCCGTTCTATTTTTAGCTACCGCATTAAAATTTTTTTTAACTAGAATGTTGTTTGACTCTAGAGTCGGATTTCTTATGTTGTTAAATATAGTGCTATTCTTCATTGTTGGGATATCTTCATAGTAGTTGTTGTCTAAGAGATTGAATGGATTGGTAGAGAATTTTTCTTTGTATTCTCTAAACGAGATATTTTGGATGATTAAAATTTTTTTAATGTTTTCCTCCTTCCTTTTTGGACAGTCTCTTACATTATGGTCCAAAGACCCACAACCTAAGCATTTGATTAGTTTGTAAGAGTTAATGGGACAGGCCGCAGTTAAAGCATCTGCCTTCCTTACTTTTGTAGAATATGGCAATGTGGCCAAAGCGGCCGCAATTGAAACACAGTTTAATAGTAGGGATAAAGTAGGAGGAATATTCCTTACAATCCCGAATTTTTAATAAAATTCCTAGGAATGTAGGCTTTACAAAGCTTCGAACGAAAGTCATCATTTTTAATAAAATTAATAGCATCCACCGCTTTACCAAAGCAAAGTTTAGCTTTACCATTGCTAATGGTTTTGATGCTAATCAGATTATCCAATTTTAGATCTTTAATGTATTCAAAGAAAAACAAGTCAGAACTGAGACATATATATTTGTCTGTATCATTATTACAGGCTTCAAGAAAAAAATAGCACTCTCCAATCACCTCATTACCATAAAAATTCTGACTTGTTAGGTCTAGGTTTTTTCCTTTTATCGGACTATTGTTTGAAGTACTATGCTCCATGCTCTATGCTCTGTTGAATTATTGAGAACGAATATGCGCTTATTCTCGAAAGACCCACAGTACATGCAAAATCCTTGATAATTGTATACGCTTATTCCCGAAAGACCCACAATACATGTAAACAAATTTATTCAAACATTCTCAATTGTATGGAATTTTTATTTTCTCAGATGGTTGGAATTTGTATACAAATTATTGAGAATTGTTGGGAAGCATGATTGACTTATTTATAGTAGATGGGATCGGTGAAATTGAGGTAGTGGTATTAACCTCCATAGACAAATCTTCTTTGGATAAACGTATGTTGAAAACTAAGTACTGTCGAGTGTTCAATTATTCACAATTGTAAACAAATATAGACGCTTACTCTCAGATGCTCGAGAAACTTATACATGCAACAGCTATTAATAAACAAATACAGACTCAATTATTCACAATTCAAAAAAGAAAAGAAAAAATTATATAAAACAAGTAAGAAAAGTTATATTTAAATGGGGAAAAGTTCAACTTGTAACTTTTATAACTTCTGAGTAACGAACAAAAACGAATAAACTTAGTTGCGTTCCGTTTATGCTCCTCTGCGGGCTATTGCTCCGACCATTTTCAATACCAATCCCCGTGCAGAAACTTTCAATGTTTCTATCAAGTTTGAAGTCGATATTCTCATCTTTGCGGTAGTGTCAACAATTAGCACCACACAGACGGACGGACATGGCTAAATCAACTTAGAATTTCACGCAGGTCAAGAATATATATACTTTATAGGATTTTTGAAGCTTCCTTTTGATTGTTACATACGTTATGAAAAAAAACAAAAACAGTGGTGGGTATCAAATAAGCAACTACTGCAGTATTTTGTAAAGCTTACTACAATGGTACGATTTCTGTCGAATAACATATTCAAAACTGTGAGCGTATCAAAAACGGGCAAACTATATTACATATATATATACGTTTAGATATACGCATATACTTTTGTTGGCACAACATCACAAGCCTTGTTTACGTTTACGTGGCGATCTATTTAATTGGTTGACAATTCTTTACCCAACAGAGAAAACATTTTCACTTTTTTAGAAGTTTTGAATAAAGACTTGGTGTTAACCCTTTTTGGTACTGGAAATTTTTGATCATTTTCAATAAGTTTATATGGAAGTTTTAATCTTCTAATTTTACTCAGAAAAATTCCTTTGTTTTCCCACAAAAACACATTTAACGGCTTTTTTTAAAGTGTGCAGCAAGTAAATACCAAGAGTTTTCGTTAAGGAAGTA